CTGCCTGGTGGGACGGAGGCAGGAGTCGCAGGGAGGGTGTTCGGACGGTGTTCTCCGTGACTGGCGGCCCGGGCCCAGGGACCCTAAACCTCGGGCTGTGGCAGCAAGAGAGGGGCCAGCTTGTGTCTCCGGCCTGTCCGCCTCCCGTGGGCTGCTGCGGAGCAGGGCGTGACTGCGAGGAGCTCGTGTGCTTCCCCCTCGCCAGCCCAGGGTGCGCACTCGTCCCAAACCTGCCCCCTTTCCCAGCCACCCGCCTGTGCCCCGAGGCAGGTGGGACAGCCTCAGGCTGGTGGGTCACTCGGGAATCAGAAAAGGGGCCTTTCGTGTTTCCAGCTGGAGATGATGCATTGAAGGTTGGTTTTTGCCCCTGGGGACGATGCCAGGATGCTCTCAGACTAACCTCCCATGCATTTTGCCCTGTTCTTCAGGTCTCAACACCTGCTGCTGTGGGACCGAGACCCCAGGCCCAAAATAGGCGCAGCTGCTGCGGATGCCGTCTCGCCCAGGCTGGCCCGTATTTAGAAACGCTTGTCTCTCCACACGCCCTCCTGCCCTCCCCACTCGGAGCCTTGGGGCTCAGAGACGGGAGTTCTTTCCTATTTCTTCTTCTGGTCTAGCTTTCTTGGGGATTTCTGGTTCTCCCACCCCGTTCCTGGGCACAGAGCAGGCGGCTGGTAAATGTCAGATGAATGAATACACATCTAAGACGCAGACCTGAAACTTCTAGCAGCAAAGCTTGGGGGAGACAGAGGCGCTGGCTCCCCAGGGCTCCTTCACTGATGGTCTCCTGTCTTCACGCCCGAGTGAATTTCAAGCAGCCATGCCCACTCCCCATGCCAAGAAAGTCAAGTTCATGGTCAGGATTGTTCACCAATTTGTACAGAACCACTTTGGGCTATTATTTTCTCTTTATCACTGATCTGCAAAGGCAGAAAGTCAGTGTAGCCAGAATATGTTCCCTAAGGACACAGTTTCCCCACCACTTTACTGCCCCCACTAGGAATTCAGTCCAGCGGGTGCAATAGCACCTACTGCGTGCAGAGCACCATACTCATAGCTCAAAGGATCGACTTTCTTTTGGTCTCTGACTATAAAAGCATGTCACCGCATCACCTTCCTCAATTACCCAGCACCTCTATGGCTTTTGTTTTGTTTTCTCATCATTATTATTTGGGAACTTATATTCCCTTTACTGTCCTCGAGGTCCGAGGTTCTTTCTTTGTCATCTTCGTATCCCTGGGTCACTAGGGAGCCCTGAGTGTATGGCAACCCTCCACATTCTCTATCTAAGCTGCCTCTTCTCTCAGCAAGCTGGTGTCAGGGTTTTCCATGGAGGTGGCCTGAGGGTGTCTGTCACCTGCCTCTCTCCTCCAGGGTTCCCGAACGAGGGCCACGCCCCATTTAATACACCCCAGAGAAGACCCCCGAATGCCCAGGAGTTGGGGGTCTTGCTCCTCCCTGCCATGGAAGGCATGAAACATCTTAGATAAAAATAGTCCGTGCCGTCTGGGCCCTGGCTCCTGGTGGCCTGCAGTTGGGGCGTGAGAGCCTCCGGAATGTCTCGGCATTGCTCGGTAACTGGATCGCTGCCCCATGCAGCGCCAGCCTCAGAACCTCTCCGCCTCAGCTGTTTTCAGCAGCGGGATTATTGGTGGGGGTGTGAATAGCCCTCCGTGTTCGGGGCGGCTTGCCCTCCCCGCATTCCCAGGCACACTTGCCGTATTAAAGCTCTCAGCTGTCGGGGTGATGCAGGCTTGGAGACGTGACAGGCTGCCGTCAGCAGCGAGTGGCAGACTGCAAGCAGCAACCGATTTTCCCCCATAAGGACATGTTACTCCTATTAGAAACCGTGTCCCTCACATGTCCTTAAGAAGGGGCCCATCTGCCAATCGTAAATCAAGATCTCATCCGTTCCAAATAAAGAGCGCGTCTACCCTCCTAGCCGGCGGTCCTTTTATAGTCGACGGATCTTTTTTTAATCCTGCACTTGAGCATGCATTTCTTGTGTAATTAAAAAATTATAAAAGACAATAAAGCATAGAATCCACTGCTGAGAGATTTAAGACTCAATAAAGAACTCAGAAAGCGACAAGTTTCTGGATGGTAGAAGATTTACAGGGAGAAAGTAAATAAATTCTATGCCCCAATACTGGGGAAAAAAAATAATAAAAGAGAAAAGCAAGGCTATTTGAGAAAGGAGAAATTAATTGGAAATGGCCCTGAATTTGGAGATGGTGGGATCCCACCCAAAGAAGTGAGCCTGAGGAGGAGGTAGCCCTTACCCTTTTTTGCCACCCTGTTTAGGAGCCCGCATACAAAAGAGCGGGTGGACATCACAAATGAGCGAAAGGTCACCCAAGGGCCTACTGAATGATCTCGTGGCTGTCTGAGCAGACTGAGGCTGGGGGGGGCTGGGTTGGTGCAAGAGGAGGGGTACAGCGAAACACTTGGAGGGAGCTAACAGGCATAGCCAGTCATCAAAAAGCAAAACCAAAGTGCACTTTGAAGCTTGTCAGCTCAGTCTCAACACACCTTTGCCCCACGCTCCAGCTCCTGGAGGTATGTCCCTTGTCTCTAGCCAGCCGCTCAGGCAGGCGGTAAGTGCCTTGAGGGTGAAGTTTCTCTAGAGAGAACCCCAGCTCTGCCATTTTGACCTCGAGCAAGTAAGTCACTCTGTGTTTCGTCTCTTCTTCCTCCGCAAAACAGGGCTGAGGAGGCCCATCCCATCCGCACTGATAGCGTGAGACAGAGCACAAGGGGGAGGCCGGTAAATCGTGGCTGGCATCCTCCTCCTCCTGTCCACAGCCGGACGAGACCTCCCCTCCCCTGCTTGTGTGGCGCGGCCTCTCCTTGTGTGGAATGAGACTTGTGCTTTCGTTTCTCTCTCCTCAGTAACACAGCTTGTATTAATAGGTTCTATGGCTGTGAACATCTTTCGCTTTATGGAATAAAAGAACACTGGTACCATTGGACATGATGTTAACTTTTAGAAAATGACTTGTTTTCATTTACGTCCTCCACAAAAGCAGAGCCTACTATAGTCAGTCACGGGTAGCTTCTTCCAGAAGCAGACTCCACACCCACCCGTTTGTGTGAACTCTCACACTTTGCCAATAAGCGGACACACACATCAGTCCCACGGCCCCAGAGATGTTCAAGCCGGTGGCCCAGTTCTGCAGAAAATGCATCAGGAGCCTCTTAATTCTTTAAGTCTTAAACTCTGTAACACGAGTTTACTTCAAAGATAGCTTGCTCACGCTTCCTTTTTGATCTGTAAATGTTTTCTCATTTATAGAAAAGGACTATTTTAGAAAGCATAATCACACTGTCACATTATACCTTAAAAACAAACAATAATCCCACATCACCATTAAATATCTGGTCAATATTCACACTTCAGCAGTTGGAGTATGCACGTGCATATCTGTTTTGCAACAGCTTGTGTTTACAAGTCAGGCTCCATAGTGCAATTAGTAGATAGGTCCATTAAGTCTCTTTAAATCTATAGTTTCCCGTTCTATTTCTTTTGTACTTGTTTCCTTGCAATTTATTTATTGAAAAAAACTGGATGATTTGTTCAGTTGCATTCCCCTACATCCCGGATTTTATTGTTTGCATCTCATGTCTCTGCCCCTGTATGTCCTACAGGTAGTCGCACCAAGAGGCTTGATCACATCCAAGGCAAATGGTTGGGTGGGAATTGTCTGTAGACCACAGTGTGTCCTTCTCTCAGGAGGCATTCAGGGTCTGGCTGCGTATGTTTTTGTGATGCTAGTAGCCATCATTCATCAAGGGTTCTTAATTCATATCAAAATGGCGATATTCCAGTTCCTCCATTCCTTCTTTACACATTAGTTGGGACACCCCTGTCACAAGGGACTTCATTTGCTTTCTCTATTGCCCACTTTGCATGGATGGCCGCCCATTGCAGTGCTTGTAAATTCTGAGAGGGTCTGAAGGACTGCAGTCCTTCTGGCCCAGTCTCAGGCCGGGCATGGCTCAGACTGGTTCTCATTGCTGTGACTTCCTCTCAGCGACAGCCATCACCAGCGGGACATGCCACTTTTTAGTTGCGGTGTTGCCATTAAGTATTGCAAGCAAGTCATAGAGATATATATATACAGAATGATTTGAAATCACTAATAGGCCAAATCTGACACTGATGGTGACTTCCTTTCTACTATAGTGGAACATCCCAGGAGGTGCTAAGCTTGTTGCTGGGAGCTGAAGAGAACCCCCCTTGGTCTTTGATTTTCACCTGAGTCGAACTGGGTTTTTTTCCTAATCTTCTAGAATCAGACAAAGAGGGAACTCCGTGACTATTTCTGATAAGTTTAATTATGACAATGAACAAAAGATCCCAGGTTAGAAGATGGTATCTCCAGTAGCAGTTCAATCAGGGGTCATTCTGACTTCCTGCTGCATTTTCCCTCTTAAGGTAAAGACAATTTCAGCCTGGGTAAGGCTGGGATTTTCTTGGTGCAGCTTTGAAATCGTTCAGATAGAGCTAAGATAACAGGACTCAGTGGCAGATTTAGACTGAGCTCTTGAAGGGATCAGGCATTATTGTATTCACCTGTGCATTCCTCGTAGCACAGTGCTTGCATGGAGCAGCTGCCCAACTGGTATTTACTAGATTCAAGATCAATTTCCCCTTTGCCTTATTTGGTCCTTTGCCTTATAACTCTATTCAATTTGAAACAGGGTTCTCGTGAACCTAACCCTTGTGTTTCCCTCCTCTCATACTAAGAGATGACTCTTCTGCAAAACCCTCTCTCCCACCCGGACCAAAGCAATGGTTAACCTAGGGGTATTTTTTCATTTTTTTATTTAATCTCAAATTTCAACCAAAGGCATTCTCTTCCTTCCCCAGCATGCACACACCAGTTGGATTTACCAAGCCATCTGCTTACTGAGATTTCAACAGTGAGCACAAAAATCACCAAAACGAGAAGCCATTTCCATGTGGGGAAGAGGAAAACAAATACCCTGAAACAGCCCCAGGTGAAAACAAAACAAAGTTTATTGCATGTGAAAAAGAGTCACATGGAAACTAAGTTGTAGTGAGCAGGAACCGTGAAAATACACATTTTGCATATCTTCTGTCCTGCTCCGGAGGCTGGCTCACTCCTCACTCTCGTGGATCACCATCTGGAAGGGAAGTAGCACTGTGAGTCAAGTCAGATGGCAGAGACACATTCCCTCCCACCACTTCCTCCACCAAGCGTCGGGGAGTTGGCTGTGTCCTTCAGTGGGACGCGCTAACTTTTGGACATTAAGAGAATACACGGTTGCATGCGTGAAGTCACCCCATAGCCTGAGAGCTCAGCCCTGAGCAAGAGCGAGCCCCACACGCTAGACAGCACTCGACCTACACCGGCAGTGATTGACGGTGCTCAGCGGGCTCTCGAGGGGACACCTGCAGCAGCCTCTCTGGTACTAGCAGGGGGGCACATGACAGAGCTCAGTGGGACACCGCTCAGTCCTTTTCAGGACGGTTATTTTTAGGTTGTGACCTACAGACTTGGATTCTGGCAGGGCACCTCCCAGCAAAGTGACTTTAAGCAAACCCCTTCTCTTCCTGAGCCTGAGATTCTGCAGCTCTAAAGCGAAGGGTTCTTTCTCTAAGGTTCCCTGCGGCTCCGAAGTCTCTGCAGGCCCTGGGGGTTCTTCCCAGGGCCCCCACTCACCCTGCTGGAGGTGAAGTCCCGGGTCTTAGCTCGCAGCTTGTTGACCTGAGATTCCGCGATGTCCGCCCGCTCCTCGGCCTCCTCCAGCTCATGCTGAGCTTTCCGGAACTTGGTGAGGTGAGCGTTGGCTTGTTCATCCTGAAAGCAAAGCGCCCGGGCAGGTTAGATGAGCACGCCTCTCTCGCAACTTTCGGCGGGACGCGGCCCAGGCTGCCGCCCTGCGGCCACACGCTTATCCGACTCACAGCCTCCTCGGCCTGCCTCTTGTAGGACTTGACTTTCACTTGGAGCTTGTCCACCAGGTCCTGCAGTCTCAGCACGTTCTTCCTGTCCTCCTCGCTCTAAAAATGAGAACACGAGCATGTCATGGGAGAGGAGAGGGCAGGGTCGCACCAAGTACGGCCAGTCGGTGGAGGGTCCGGGGTGGCATTTGCACGTGGCCGAGAAAATGACCGTCGGGTTTTCTTCAAACTGACCTGGTAGGTGAGCTCCTTGACCCGCCGCTCATATTTCCTCAGGCCCTTGACGGACTCTGTGTTCTTCTTCTGCTCCCCTTCGAGCTCAAACTCCAGCTCTCGGATCTGAGGGAGACGTTGGGGAAGTGGGTCTGGGGCCGGGGCGAGCACAGGAGAGGCGGGAGGCCGGGCTTGGGCCGGCCCCGCTGCGTACCCGAGCCTCCAGTTTCTGGATCTGCTTCTTCCCGCCCTTCAGCGCCAGCTGCTCGGCCTCGTCCAGACGGTGCTGCAGGTCCTTCACCGTCTGCTCCAGGTTCTTCTTCATCCGCTCCAGGTGGGCGCTGGTGTCCTGCTCCTTCTTCAGCTCCTCGGCCATCATGGCGGCCTGGAAAGCGAGTCAGACCCGCGGAGATGCAGACCAAGCCCGTGGGCCCGCAGCTGCCAACACCTGGGTGTGCCCGGGGCCCAGGGACCACGCCCAAGAAAAAGGACAACGGGCGCGACGATGACCGGGCACACCCTTCCACCACGGAGTAAGACAAGAGCTTCACCCAGCGTGTAAAACAACCTAAGAAGTGGAAACTTCAAGGACTGGATGGGAAATAGTTTCTTCCCTTTCTTAAAGTGAGTTTCTTGGGACTTTCCTCCCCGCGGAAATTCTTTCTTTCAATATCACCAACATATATTTTCAAAGGAACCCGAGACGTAGAGAAGGTTGACTTGATGTCTAGCACCACAGATTTGGGTACACTGAGGTCAAGGGGGAGGCCTTGAGAATCAGGGGGGACTGAGGACGTGCAGGGGAGCAGGATAGTTTCGGGGTACAGTTCTCCCATCCGGCAGCAGGGGGCGCTGCTGGGCGCAGTTCGCAGGGAAGTGTCTACCCAAGAAGGTTAGGAGAAGGGAGAAATCTGGTGGATCTTGGCATCTGAGGGTCTCATTGCCATATTTGGAATAAGTCAGATGTCGAAGGAAGAAGAGCACACCTGTTCTTGGGCAGAACAAACGGGATACGATCCCTTCCTCTCTTTTTCCCTATGCCCCCGTTCTAAATGTGCAGAAGGGAACAGGTGCGTTTGGGGGGAGGTGGGAGCAGTTTGGGGACAGAACACACACCCAGGTGTGTCTGGGGGAGACCCCACCTGTCTAACGTGAGCTGCCAGGGGGCTCCCGTTCAGGAATAGGGACTTTAATGGAACGCAGCCCTGACGCCTTACGTCGGTGATGGCCTTCTTTGCCTTCTCTTCGGCGTTCCTTGCGTCCCTGCTGGCGTCTTCCACCTCGCTCTGGAGCTGCGTGAGGTCTGTCTCCAGCTTCTTCTTGGTGTGGATGAGGCTGGTGTTCTAGGGAAGGGGCGGGGTGTTACCCAGGCGTGCCTGTGGCCAGAATCTCGCAAGGCCTCCCCCCGCCCCCACCTGGGTGTGCAGCAGCTGCGCTCTCTCGTTGGCGTCCAGGAGCTCCTGCTCTGCGACCTTCCTGCTCCTCTCCGTCTGCTCCAGCGTGGCCCGCAGCTCCTCCACCTCGGCCTGCAGCAGGTTGGCTCTGCGCTCAACCATGGCCAGCTGCTCCTTCAGGTCCTCCTGGCCCCGCAGAGCGTCGTCCAGGTGGAGCTGGGTGTCCTAGCCAGAGAGCGGAGGGAAGTTCCGTTTGAATGGAGACATCGGGGCCGGGAGCCTCGTCCACGTCTCTGAGTATCTGAGGCCAAGAGAGGACCCCCGAGCCCCAGGGGTCTGTCTCAGACCTTCAGCTGCCCCTGGACGCTCCGGAGGTGTTTGAGGGTCTCTGCCGCCTGGCGGTTGGCGTGGCCGAGCTGGATCTCGATCTCGTTCAGGTCCCCCTCCATCTTCTTCTTGATCCGGACGGCCTCGTTGCGGCTGCGCACCTCGGCGTCCAGGGCGCTCTGCATGGACTCCACCGCCCTCTGGGAGTTCCTCTTCAGCTGCTCCATCTCCTCGTCCTTCTCGGCGATCTTTCTATCGATTTCCGATTTCACCTGTGTCAGTTCGAGCTGGATTCGGAGGATCTTGGCTTCTTCATGCTCGAGAGCAGCCTTCAAAGAACAGAAAGAAACAAAACAGTGCCAGTGATGGGATGGAGCCTCCGGGGAACACAGCTTCAGTGGAAGGGCCCTAAATCTAACTTTATAATATTCAAAACTACCTTTAAAAAAAAAAAAGTCCCTAATTTATCTTCAGCGCAGAAATAAAATGTTTCAATGCTATTGGGTTTGGATTATACTCTCAAACAATAATAACATTTAAATCATCATATATCTTAGGAGCATAAAGCATATTATAGATGTTTTAAATCCAACTAAGGGTTTGTAAAATCTCATTTTAATGTAACTTTTCCCCCCAGTAAGTTCAAGGTCATTCACAGATACTAGCCCACTCAGCCTCACGGTCATGCCATGTGACGGGAGAGGAGCAGGCATTAGGACTGTCCCTGGGACTCGCCGACACGGAGGGCCCGCCAGCCTCCCCGGCCAGAGCGCCGCTGGGACTGCACCTGCTCCCCACCTGCTTCCCCGGCGGTGCTCACCTCCGCTTCCTCCAGAGCCAGCTGGGACTGCACCTGTTCCCCACCTGCTTCCCCGGCGGTACTCACCTCCGCTTCCTCCAGAGCCAGCTGGGACTGCACCTGTTCCCCACCTGCGTCCCCAGCGGTGCTCACCTCCGCTTCCTCCAGAGCCAGCTGGGACTGCACCTGTTCCCCACCTGCGTCCCCAGCGGTGCTCACCTCTGCTTCCTCCAGAGCCAGCTGGGACTGCACCTGTTCCCCACCTGCATCCCCGGCGGTGCTCACCTCCGCCTCCTCCAGAGCCAGCTGGGACTGCACCTGTTCCCCACCTGCATCCCCGGCGGTGCTCACCTCCGCCTCCTCCAGAGCCAGCTGGGTATCAGCCTTCTCCAGCTCGATCTGCTTTCTTGATTTCTCCAGTTCGTGGATGGTTTTGCCATTTTCAGCGATTTGTTCTGTGAGATCCGCTATCTCCTCTGCAAAGAAATACATGTCGATTATGTATAAACGCCTCTGCCCAGGTTTCCGGGCATGCAAAGCACTGACTCAATGCTTTTTAACTAGTTTATTATAATTCTAAGGACTCCTGTTTCCTAGAGATAAGATACTGTGTAGCGAGAGACTCAGAAATAACCCGCCGGATAGCGAACACCTTCCGTGCGTGCATCGACAGGCATGCGTGTAGGGACCTGAATAAAGAAGTCACACCCCCGCCCGCACGCTCTAGGGCAACACAGCGTGGAGGGAGGAGTTTTTCAGGCCATTTCGGAATGTTTCAAACCGCTTACGCTCTAAGTTCTTATTCTCCCGTTTCACGGTTTCAAGTTGATCCAAGGCTTCCTCGTAGGCGTTTTTCAGTTTGAAGAGCTCCGTGCTCAAGGAGCGGGACTCCTTCAGAGACACCTCCAGCTCCGCCTGGCTCTCCTCGCACTTGGTCTTCCATTCGGCCAACACCTGAAACACGAGGGTGGAGCGTGCCACCGTGCGTGAGCCCTCCTCCTCCAGGCTTCTAGCTGGATATTACTGTTAAGTGTGGAGTTAGGGCTGCCCTTGGTGGCATCTCTTGCATGGCCCCTTGATATTGGTTATTGGACTAACCAAGATTTGCTCAAGGCCTTCAGTCAGTAAACAATTGCCAGCCCCTAAAAAGCAAACAGATCCTCTGAGAAGGAATTAGCTGGGTATAATTTCCCTTTTCCCTAATGTGAGAATGGCCCTGTACTCCTAAATATTTCATTAAGACATTGGTTCAAATCAATCTGATCTGCCATACAGAAATCGGGCTTCCAGAATGCCAACCAATGGGACCTAAGTGTAGGCGGCTGTCCCACGTGTCAGCCGCCTACACAGACCAGCGGAATGGGGGAAGGAAAGATGTTTGGGGCTGAGCAGCGAATTGGTTTGTCTCCACTGACAATGTCTGAAAAAGACCTGTACCCCCATCCCATTCCCATTCTGTGTGACAGATGAGGAAAGTACACCTGGTGAGGTTCAGGGACTTGCCCAAGGTCACGCTGCAGGTGAGGGCAGAGTGGGACCCAGTCTCCTCCTTCCATGGCTGCTAGAAATCCCCACATGGTGGTGCCCTGCCAGCACGGGGCTGACCCCGCACCTTGTCAAAGTTCCTCTGCTTCTTGTCCAGGGCGGCGGCCAGGGAGTTGGCTCTTTCCACGTCCACCATCAGATCCTCCACTTCTCCTTGCAGCCTCTGCTTGGTCTTCTCCAAGGAAGCACATTTAGCATTCACTGCCTCAACCTGTTCTTCGGAATCTTGAAGGCGCTGAGCAAGTTTTTTCCTTGAAGAATATGAAAGAGAGGCAGATGCTATTTAAACTTCAATCTTCTTGAACATCGCTATTCATCAAATTGGAATCACTACCAATCTGTGTGATTCAAACACCCGAGTGCTTTTACAGCCCAGGAGAATTTCCTATCTGCTTAAAATCCAGGATCAGTCATTTGTCCTGTGTCTACCCAAGAGCAAACTTGTTTGTCCCACTGAAATGTGCTAACACCAGGTCAAGACACACGAGGTGGGAAAACATCTAGAAACAAAAGCAAATGCATCAAACCCATTCCCGAGTAGTTGTAAAGCCAGTGCCCTCTACCACGTGACTGTTTAGGGTTCTAGTTCTAAAGGCAAACAGGGCTGCGCACTTGGCCTCCTCCAGCTCCTCTGTGCGCTGGATGGCGTCCGTCTCGTATTTGGTCCTCCACTGCGCGACCTCACTGTTGGCCTTGGACATCGCCCTCTGCAGCTCGGCCTTGGCTTCCTGCTCCTCCTCATACTGTTCCCGCAGCAGGTCGCAGTCGTGGCGGGAGGACTGCAGGGCGTGGGCCAGCGCGTTCTTGGCCTGAAGAAGTCAAGAAAGAGGAGAGCCCCCAGTGCATTTAGCGTCACATGCACGAAACAACCCAGGCATGTTCCTGCCGCCACCCCCTACCGCAGGCGGTATTTGAAAATTAGATTAAGGAAGCTTCCCTCGTTACACTGTACCTTGCTCTCTTCCTCCAGCTGCCTCTTGAGCTCTTCTATCTGCTGGGTGAATGCTTGCTTGCTCCTGGAAAGTTGGGACACGATGCTTTCCTTCTCCTCCAGCTGGCGACTCAGCTCACCTGGGTACAGAGGGAAGCACTTTCAGTCATTCATTCATTCACCGCGTTCCCTCTACGTGTGTGGCACTCCCTGACTGGGGTAAGCCGGCCTGCTAAGATCTGAGCAGACAGCAAATTGTGAGAGGCGGGCCCATCCTGAGAGAGAAGGGATGTGTCTGTGCAAAGGAGACCGAAAGCGCCACCTGGGAAGATAATCATGGGTGTGAACTACTGGGAGATGGGCGAGGCTCCTGTCCACAGAGCCACTGAGAACCATAAATGGTAACATGACAGAGGCCCGGCACAATTCCCGCCAGCCTCCCCAGTGGGAGGTGTTTCCAGCAGTTGTTGATTTGTTATCGACAAATGCTTGGGACTTTATATCTCTAGCAATCTGGAGTTGGACCCTGGGGTGAATGTGGTGTTTATATGCTTATGCAGAGGGAGGGGGCAATGGGGGCAGGAGGCTGCACGGCCGCAGAGGTGACTCGCCGAGAGTACTGTGGAAGTGGCGGCCAAACGCCTTTCCTTCCCTGTCTCGGCGGTCGCTGCTGAGGATGGACTCGCCTGTGAGGGACTTGCCTGTGATGATGTCCAGTGCCGGACGGAGCCACGTTTTCTAGGTGAAAGCCCTAAATACTGTTCCCTTGCATTTTTATTATCCTCCAAGAGCTGATAGAAATTGGCCACGTGTCTCTACTCTCCTAAAACACTCGAATGGAAGCAATGAATCTGAATTAATGTGCAGAGAAAAGTAGAAAGGCCATCAGGCTTGTTTTTTCATCCTGTTTTACTGCCAATTAGATTCTGTTTGATGTTTCCATTTTGGACGCGTTGGAACGAGGTGCTCCTTTGAGTCCCTTCTTATTCTGGTCTGTTCCTCTCTTGTTCTGACTGCACTCAGTGTTCTGTCCCTTGAGGGTGTTTCCAATGGCCCTTCCTGTGGGTTATTTCCATTACTTGGCTCCTGAGGAGTGTGCCTCCCTAGAAGTGCTCCCCCAAACGCACAGGGCCCCTTAGTTCTGCCAGCTGCCCGCCTGCGTGTCCACGGGGACCGCCACCCCCCACCCTGTGCCCCGCACCGCTCACCAGCCTCAGACTGAAGGCGCGACTTCTGTGCCGCCAGCTCGCTCAGGCTCCTCTGGGTCTCCTCGTTCTTGCCCCTGGCCTCGCTCAGCTGGTCCTCCAGGGTTCGGCACACCTTTTCCAGATTTGCCTAAAGGGTTGAGACATTGAGGCGGGGGCGGGCGGAGGGCGGAGGGAGGGAAGTCAGCCTTTGAGCCCGGAGCGTCTCCCAGGGAGAGCCGGGCCACGCCGCGCACCTTGGATTTGGACACGCTCTCCACGCTGCCGGCCAGGTCGTCGATCTCCAGCTTGAACTCGCTCTTCTCCTTCTCCAGCTTCTGCTTGACCCGCTGCAGGTTGTCGATCTGCTCCGCCAGCTCGGCCGCGCTGTCCGCGTGCTTCCTCCTCAGCGTGGCCACCGTGGCCTCGTGCTGCAGCGTGGCCTCCTCCAGGTCCCGGCGCAGCTTCAGGAACTCGGCCTCGCGCTTCTTGTTGAGCTCGATCTGCGTGGAGGTGACGCCGCCCGCCTCCTCCAGCCGCTCGCCCAGCTCCTCCAGCGCCCGGGCGTAGTCGCCGCGCTGCTTCTCCGTCTTGGCGCGGGCGGCCCTCTCCGCCTCCATCTCCTCTTCCAGCTCCTCGATCCGAGCCTGTGGAGGACGGCCGGCCACCGGCCCCGCGGGCGGTCGGCGTCCAGGACAGGCTGTGTCGCCCCCGTCACCGCCCTGGACTTTCCCCAGAGAAGGATGAACGCCGCTGCTTTCCTTTCCCATGAACGTTTCCTGACCCGCCATGGTCACGGCCCCCGCAGGGACCAACGCCGGATATTTATTTTCTACTCAGCCGCAGGTTGACCCCAAATACCTTAATCCATTGACCGCCACACTAGAGAAACATTTTTTCCCCCCTGGTGCTACTGTGTTTTATTAAAGCAAAATGATACTTTCTAATTTGTTATTGTTTATTGTTTTCTGTGCATGAGTTATAGGCAATGCCACCATGTTTTTAGAATTGTCAATACTGATTATAACGATAAGAACAAGTAAGTAGGTAAGATTTTCATGAACCAACTGCAAGGTTTTGCTTCAAGAGGTCCCGGGCTCAAAGCTAGCCTGAGTTAGATACAGCTCGCATGGCAGTCGGTGTGTTAGTTATGCATTTGATTGGAAGTTATGGGGAAATGGTTCATCTCTGCAGCATCAGCCTAGCAGAAAGAGAACCCATGAGGCAGGTGGCCCCTGGTCCTGTCCACTTGCTCTGCACGGCTCCCAGCAGACAGCTCCCGGCTCACTGTGAGTGACCCCACGTGGGACACGGAAATCCGAAGCTCTCCTACCTGTAACTCTTTGATTTTCTTCTGAAACTGGAGGCCCAGCGTCTGCTCATCTTCCACTTTGCTTTGCAGTTGGCTATATTCAAAATCCTTCCTGTGGAGGGAAACGGAGAATGCATGAAGACAAAACACCCAGTAACTTGCAGAACCGAGCCTGTGGGTGTGGGGTGGGCGTACTTCTTGAGCCTTTCGTCCAGCTGTTGTTTATCGTTCTCCAGGTCCAATATGGACTCTTGGGCAAGCTTCAAGTCTCCCTCCAGCTTCCTTTTGTTCCTTTCCAGGTCTACACGGAGCTTCTTTTCTTGCTCTAGGGAGCTTTCCAGCTGAAAAAGGCACCATTTACTTTTGGGAATAAATGCTTTGCGAGAGGACCCTCGGGTGCTCTTCCAACCCTGGAGTTGGGACCCCTGGGACCCCTGACTAGCATCATTTACTTACGTCATCCACTTGCTGTTCCAGTTTGCTCTTGATTTTGCTCAAAGAATTGACTTTGTCTTCTTCAGCTTGGAGGTCATCCAGGGCCTGCTGGTGGGCCTCTTGGAGGGCCTTCTTCTCTCTGGTTAACTTGGCAATGGTTTCATCTAACCCAGCGAGTTCCTCAGTCAGGTTTTTAACCTAAGAAGAAGCCACAAGCAATTTTAGGAATAAGTTTACTTTGCAGTGACTGCAACGAGCTAGAAAGACCCACAAGAGAGTACCTTGTTCTCTGTGGCATGCTTCTCCTTCTCAACCTTGGCCAGTGTCAGCTCAAGGTCATCAATGTCTTTCTTGAGTTCTGAACATTCATCCTCCAGTTTCCTCTTCTTGGCTGTCAGCTCAGCATTGATCTCTTCCTCGTCCTCAGCTCGCTCAGTCACCTCCTTGATCTTGGCCTCGAGCTGGAATTTGGCTTTGATCAGCTGGTCGCATCTTTCCTCGGCATCCAACAAGTTTTCACTTTCCTTTTTAAAAAAAAAAAAGAATCATAATTCCCTTTAATGAGATAAGGTTTGTGACATTCCAGTGTTGTGTTCTATATGCAGTTCTTTATGACGCATCCCAACTAAAAAGCAAAAACCTCCACCAAGAATCCAGGTTTCCTAAATAAATCATCCAATCTAGAAGGAGAGTTAAAAAAAAAAAAATCACGCACAGCTTGTACTTGGAGCTGCAGGTCATTCTTCTCTTGTACCAGAGTCACCAACTTTTCCTCCAGCTCCTTCCTTTTTGCCTCTGACTTGGCGAGTTCGTCTTTGGTTTTCTGGAACTCCTCCTTCATGGTGGCCATCTCCTTCTCTGTCTCCGCGCTCTTGAGGAGGGGCTTGATCTTGAAGAAGAGTTTCATCCAGGGCCAGTGCTTGACGTTCATGAAAGAGCGGATGTTGTACTGGATGCAGAAGATGGACTCCCTGAAAACCAAGATACGGCTTATTCCCAAGAGGGACCCTCCCCTTCCCCAAAGGGCTCATGCTTGAACAAAGAGCCTGCTCGACCTCCTCTGCACCATCTTCTGGAACTCCACGCGCATGAGAAAGCCCCTGCACACGGCCTGCGTGCGGGTGATCAGTCTGGCCAGGTGGTCGTCCCTCATCTCTTCCAGGGTCCCCAGCAAGCCAGCCTTGAAGAACACCTGAGCAGGGAGAAGGGTGGCTCCAGTCGGTCCCCTGCGGAAGTCGTGTCTAGAGGACAAAAAGGCCAGCCTCCGCCAGAACTGACGCATTACCTTGGTGTGTCCAAATTTGTACTGCGTGTGGTCAATGTCGATGGATGCCAGGAGCTTTTCGCAGGCCTTCTTGCTGTCGATGAATTGCCCCTCGGGGATCGCACTGGCGTTCAGCACTCGGTATCTGCGTCGTGGACACGGAGATCATCACCGACCGTTGACAAGGACACAGACCTTGGAGCCCGCCAAGTGCAGGCCTCTCTCCCTTTAGGCAACAAGGTCAAGTTCCCAAGAGGCGAAGAAACGTTCCCAGAGTCACACTGCTACGTACGGTAGCCTGGAATCTAGACCTCCTGACCCCTAAGCGGGGGCTGCTTCTGCCGTTTTGTATATCAGATACGTTCCAGAGAAAAAATGTAGAAGAAACAAGTATGTATACCTTGGCCAGGTGGTAGGCTGTTTAGTTTACAGGGAAGTCCACAACTATTCTTTTGAGATGGGTCTTTTCATGTCAACCTCCCTCCCTCTCAAATTCCAGTATTTGCACATCTCATCAAGAAGAGTATAGGACATTGGTATGACGCACCTTTGTTTGAAGTCCCCGTAGAGGATCCTGTTGGGGAAGCCCTTCCGGCAGATGCGGATGCCCTCCAGGACGCCGTTGCAGCGCAGCTGGTGCAGGACCAGGCTGTGTTCCATGGCCCCTGGGGACAGAAGCAAGACGCGTCGGCTTCACGTAGAGTTTCCTGAAAACCGAGCACCACCCAGAGAGCCGGCAGGTGTCTCACCTGGGGTTTTGGTTTCGTTGGGAATTATACAACGCACAAAATGAGGGTGAGTCGTTCTCAAATTGGACATCAGCTTGTTCAGATTTTCCTGAAAGAAAAAGGTTACATTTGACGGCCTACTGTGAGCTTTTACAAAGACAGAGATGCGTTGTAATGAAAGGTGTGTGTTTTCAATTCATCATGAATTGTAAAGAATAGTTTATTTCACTCTCTCTTTTAAAATAATCCTATGGCTAGAGGCGCAGGCAAGTAACTGATACAACAGTCTTTTGTTTCCGGGTGATCCAGAGGTTCTCCAAGTACAAAATACTTTCTAAAATCAGTTCAGGAAAGTTAAAAAAAATAAATAAATAAATAAAAAAAAATACTCCTCTCCATGCAATCAAAGTTAAAAAAAATAAAATAAAATAAAATAAAATCAGTTCAGAAGATGCATCTGGCTCCACTGGGGGCGTGAGGTCTATTGCTTGTGTCCTTAAGGCAAACTGGAGAGTTTGTACTGGGAACTCACTCCCAGGCCAGCCAAGCCAGCTAGCTGCAGTACAGAATGGTCATGAAACTCTGGTCCCACGTTGGTTGGACTTCATTTATATATTATCGCACGGTTACTCCATCTCACTGAGAGACAGTAATCAGATCGAGACAACATTATTACTCTTGAATAAATCAAGTTTAGAATCTCCCTACATTAATCATTTTTATATGACTTAAACCAATTACAAGCAGATGAACTTGCATTTTTTTCTTACCCTGAAAAGGGCAGAGACAGTTTGGAAGGAAGAACCCTTTTTCTTGGCAACTTTCTTCTTCCCGCTATCAGCTGAAAGAAAGAAAGGAGGGCATGCTTTGTTAGTGGATCTATAACCTTTTTTTTTGATCTTGTGGGGCAAAGGGAGGGGGATCACACAATACAAGGCACTCCGTGGACTGGGAGTCTGTTACCGTCTGCCGTGGCAAAGGTGGCATAGAGGTGTGCCAAGAGCCTGTTGGAGGACTTCTGGTACAGCCCAACGACAGTCTCGTTCAGGGGGTCCTTGTTCTTCTCCAGCCAGCCCGAGACACTGTAGTCCACGGTGCCTGCGTAGTGGACCAGGGAGAAGTGGGCCTCAGCCCTGCCTTTGACCACCTTGGGCTTCTGGAAGTTGCTGGACTTGCCCAGGTGTTGGTCGTACAGCTTGTTCTTGAAGGAGGTGTCTGTTGCCTTGGGGAACATGCACTCCTCTTCCAGGATGGAGAAGATGCCCATCGGCTGGATTTAAGGCAAGACAAAGCGCGTATGGGTCAGTATGGGCTGCAGAGTAAGACAGGTGGTCACTGAGTGGATGGAACAGGATACCTTCTCGATGAGCTCGATGCAGGCCGCCAGGTCCATGCCGAAGTCGATGAACGTCCACTCGATGCCTTCCTTCTTGTACTCCTCCTGCTCCAGCACGAACATGTGGTGGTTGAAAAACTGTTGCAGCTTCTCGTTGGTGAAGTTGATGCACAGCTGCTCCAGGCTGTTATACTAACACCAAAATATAACGTTCACATGGAAAGTTAGACTTCTTTCAAAATCAGAGCTCTATCAATGCTCCTCCTCATTGCCTCAGGCTCTCACCAGACTCATTTATGCTTTCAGATGTGGTCACGTTCTTCAAGGCCTGGCTCAGATCACACCCTGTCCTTGGAGTCTTCCTTAAACCTCCAACTAGAAGGTATTTCTCTCTTTCTTGAGTTCCCATGGTCTGGGCATCTCATGTGCACTTTGTTTCATAGTTACTCCTCTGTGTGCCTTATAGACTTATTTTTTTTCGCTATTAGACTACAAGCTCATCTCTTTTTATCACCAGTAGGTCTTGTTTTTGGCAGATAGTAAATATACACTTTGATGAATGGCTACGTGCATCTAACACAAAACCAGTAGGGTATTCATGCAAAATATTGTGTGATTGACTTATTATTAAATTCTCTGTAACTCTTTTCTGGCTCTCCCTAAATCAGTAATTGCATTTGATTTTTTTCTTTTATCCATTTGATATTGTACTTTAAAATTCCACTTGAAAGCAGTCTTCCCCTCTCCTAAAATAATGCAAAAGCCCTCCCAGCAAGGTTCTTCTCTTCTATCCAAACTACTCCCCATCTAGTTTCTTGCAGGAGACTACAAGATGGCCATCTTCATATCTTCCCTTTAGGATCGTGAAAACTAACCCTTACGTACAAAGCCATATGAAAATACGACCACGAGTAACACAAACCTCAAAGATTTCAAAGCCTGCAATGTCCAAGACGCCGATGAAGTGCTGTCTTGGCAGCTTCGTGTCCAGCTGCTGGTTGATGCGGGTGACCATCCATAGGAACAGCTTTTCGTACACCGACTTGGAGAGGGCGTTCACAGCGTGGTGAACCTGCCGTGGGGGAGATCGGGCATGAGGAGGAAGGCAGTGGCCATCAGTGGCCCGCGTACCTGCCTGGCCTGGACGCGGTTACCTGATCCACGGTTTGGCCTTTGGTGACGTACTCGTTCCCGACTTTCACTCGGGGGAAGCACAAGGCTTTCAGGAGGTCCGAAGAGTTGAGGCCCATCAGATAGGCCGTTTTGTCAGCCACTGGAAAGAGAAGGGAGATGACTCGAGGCAGAGGGAAAGGGCCGCTTTGAAGATCATCCACATGCCTCCAAGCTGGGCCAGGTCTGTCTAGCTGTGTCGTACGCTCCCTGTTGCTGAACTGCTTGCCTGTGGCCAGTGGCCGACTCACCCAGAGAACGTGACAGACTTTATGAAAAGGCAGGACTGGGGTCCAGAAGGCCCTGCCCACTCCTCACTGCGTCTGAAACAGGACCATTCTGGCGATTTCAGCGGGAATGAGTGGTGACAGTGCCTGTAGGCATCTGAAGCCCAGAAAGACCCGGCCACCTCTCCAGGTGGACCAAGAAGCAATCGCTTTCAAAAGAGGAACCACATGGTCTCAGGTGAAGAACGCCCAGCTCTGGCTACGGCAGCTGTGGGGAGTTTGTACCTTCGGTGCCGTCTGGCTCTGCCTGCTCCTCCCGCTGCTTCTGCTTGAACTTCATGTTCCCGTAGTGCATCACGGCTCCCGTCAGCTTGTAGAGCCCAGATTTCTCCTCTGGGCTGAAGCCCAGGATGTCAATGGCGCTCTGGCAGGGAAAGAACAGCCCGTCAGTCATCGGCCCCAGGGATGGGGCAGGAACACCCGCCCCGCTCTGTGGGTTCCACCTACATCCGTAGCCAGCAGCTCCTCAGCATCGTCTATGCTGGCCACCAGGATCTCACCCTGGCTGATGAACGGGTAGTCGTAGGGGTTGGTCGTAATAAGCAGCAGCTCTGAAATGACAAATAGTTAGAGGAGGTCTCACAGATGCAAAGAGAACATCCGCCCAGTGCACCTGAGCTCCCACATCCGGGACTGAGACTACGACCACTGGACCCCAGATTGAATGTAGGGTTGAAAATCTCTTCGAAACAGCTTTGCAATCCTCAGGCTGTCACTGAAAATGCAATCCAGGCAAGACTTTGCAGGCTCCCTCCCGTACTACGGAGACTAAAAACCCTGGAAAGAATATTTAAATTTTCTTGCTTTTTCTCGTGAACGCTGCATGTCAGTGTCGGTTGGGGAAAGTTAATATGGAACAGGCTGAGTGTGGTTTAGGACAGGAGCCCACACTGGGGGCAAGCACAGGTTGTTTGGTATAATCATGGCCTTTTCTGCAGTCTGTTGAAAAGCCGCAGCCTGTTTCCAGACTGGAGACCAGCAGGCTGAGCAGACAGGGCCAAAGAGCCAAGAAGACGGTGTGCACAAAGTCCTGCCAGGCACGGAGCCAGGGCTGGGCACGACCCACAGGAGGGACAGTGGGTCTGAGTGTGCCTCGGCCTCACAGCATTGGGCGACAGGCTGGTTTCTGCACTGGAACACAAGAGGGCGCCAAAGGACAATGAAATGCTCTGTTGTTCGGCAGGGTTTTAAAGGCCAACCCTGAATTCAGTAGGGGTTTAATCTTATTAACGTCCAGTTGATGAGGTTTTTCAAATTGGCATGCCACTGCCTAAATAGACACGTCATGTTTCCTTTTTAAAATTTTTATTTATTTTTAGATTTATTTTTATTTCTTATTTACTTTTATATGTTTTAGAGACAGGGTCTCACTGTATGTCCCAGGCTGGAGTTCAGTGGCTCGATCATAGCTCACTGCAACCTCAGACTCCTGGGCTAAAGCGATCCTCCCTCCTCAGCCTCCCTAGTAGCTGGGATCACAGGTGCACACCACTGCACCCAGCCTGCATCCCATTTCTAAAATAAACTTCTTCCGTTGCCTGTAGAGTCGCCTGTGTATGGGGGCAGCTCTCCCCAGTCTAGTGATCACGGGCCAACATGCCTAAATGATCAACCCTGGTGGTGACCGTCTCACCTATGAGCTCAGGCTTCTTGTTTGAAAGAATCTGGTAGAAGATGTGATAGCTTCTCTCAGCCTTCAGCTGGAAGGTGACTCTTGACTTTTCCAGCAGATCTGGAACACAAACACAGGACTCTCTTCCAGACTGTCCCCCACACTCTGAGACAGTGTCAGGGTCCCCCCCCCCCCCCCCCCCCCGCCCCGTGCATGCACTTACATGTTTCAATATCTGCAGAGGCCAGCTTCCCGGTCGTTCCAAAGTGGATTCGGATGAACTTGCCCTGTGTGGGGGGGAAAGGGAGACTGGGTTCTCCCAGGGCCCGACTGTTCCTTCCCATGTCTCCGGGTAATGTAAATAGGAGGTTTTTCTCCCTATGGTCTGAAATTAAGTACGGACTCCCTCTTCTCCCTTCTCCTTTCACTTTCGTGTTTCTCTTTTTCCCCTCCCCTTTTATTCTATATTCCTTTCTCCCCTATATATAGTCAACAAAGCAGCTAGAGTGATTTTTTTCAAGATGTCAATCAAACCATATCACTTCCCTGCTTACAGAAGGTTCCAGCATCCTCCTGTTGCAGTTGGAATAAAATCCAAACTGCTTCCCATGGCCTATAGGCTCCTCTGTGACCAAGTGTCCTTCTCCCTCTTCCACCTCACCTCATGAGACTGGTCCCCGGCCACATGGCACCCCCCCTTAGATCTGTGACGGCACCAGGCCCTTCCTCCACTCGGGGGCTGTGCACTTGCTCTTCCCTTTTCCCTCCTCCTCTTTCTTCCCTGTCGTCAGACTCCTGCTCATCCTGCAGGTCTTGGCCCAGCCCCCCTGCAGCGGCCTTCCCTCCAACCCCTGGAGCCCTGCGACTCTCCCACAGGCCCTGTTTACTGAACTTCACATGAATGTGTCCTTGTCTGAAATTGTCTTGTTGTTTCGTTCTTTCATCATCTGTCCCTGCTGGTCTCTATACTCCGTGAGGACAGGCATCTCGCCAACCTTGCAGGCCGCAAAGAAAATCCCATCTTAACTGAATCCAGACTCACAAAGCGGGAGGAGTTGTCGTTCCTCACGGTCTTGGCGTTCCCGAAGGCCTCCAGCAACGGGTTGGCACTGATGATCTGGTCTTCCAGAGTCCCCTAAGGCAAGAGATCGGGGCAGGAAGAAAAAGCATTTCTTTAAGCCACAAAATGATAGTAAAAAAATGCTCACCCACTCTGTGACTCCCGCCTGCCCTGGCTCCACCCTGACTTTCCATCTGTAGGACCAAGCAGAGCAGCAGCATGTCCTATGTGAAACACTTTTGCCATTTTGTTATGTTTGGCTATGGTTGGGTCTCTTGACTTAACATTGAACACTGCAATTCCCCGATTCTGCAGTTAAGTAGGTTGTCTGTGTTCATTTCATACTGTTATAGTCATTTATTTCAAAAGGCAAGTATATGCTGTGGTTCTCTCATGTAGGTATGTGTGATTCTGCCAAAAAAAGAACAAGCTCTCTTAGTCAACTGCAAATTGACCTTTCTTAGTTATGATAATTAAGCCTTAGAGCTTTGTCTTCTAAGAAAGCACAGGGTCTGGTCCTGTAGATCAACTCCGCACTGTGTGGTCTAGGGTGGCCAGCTGCCCTGCGAGATTTTAAGTCCCAGCCTGCTCTCCTTTCCTTGAAGCGGGGGGTGTGATAACATTTGGCCTCCTCATTCTGAAGTTAAGACAATGGTTAGAAGTGGAAGCAAAGCAACCCTTTCTCTCCTGTCCATACCTTCATTTTGGAGTCCTTCTTCTTGGCGAGGTCCCCAGTAGCTGCAATTGTTGCAAAGTACTGGATGACCCGTTTGGTGTTCACAGTCTTTCCTGCCCCGGATTCTCCGCTATTTGGAGTGATTAAAAGAGAGAAGTAAAAAGAAATGATGAAAGAAAAAGAAACAGGCTCCCCAAGATGTGACACAGGGGCTTGGGCATAGGCTTGGGTATAGGCTTGGGCATAGGCTTGGGCATAGGCTTGGGCATAGGCTTGGACATAGGCTTGGGCATAGGCTTGGGCATAGGCTTGGGCATAGGCTTGGACATAGTCTGACCCACATCTCACACACGCCTACCAAACAAGGGTGGGACACCACTAGGGGAGACTGAAGCCCCAGGGGAGGTGCCACAGCTGCTGGCTTAGTTGACCTAGACCTTCCACATACCTTCTTGTCCATCTCCCCCCAATTTTTGTTTTTTTCTGAGACAGAGTCTCGCTCTGTTACCCGGGCTAGAGTGCTGTGGCATCAGCGTAGCTCACAGCAACCTCAAACTCCTGGGCTCAAGCGATCCTCCTACCTCAGCCTCCCGAGTAGCTGGGACTACAGGCATGCGCCACCATGCCTGGCTAATTTTTTCTATATTTTTAGTTGTCCAGCTAATTTCTTTCCATTTTTTAGTAGAGACGGGGGTCTTGCTCTTGCCCAGGCTCATCTCGAACTCCTGAGCCCAAACGATCGGCACGCCTCTGCCTCCCAGAGTGCTAGGATTACGGGTGTGAGCCACTGCACCTGGCCCCCATTTCCAAATTGATCTTTTCATTATGGACTTTGCTCTAAACAGAATAGAGCAAGTGGCACCTTTTGTTGCAGCTATGAAATCATTCTATGTCTTGGATACTTACGTGATCAGAATAGACTGGTTTTCACGATCTGCCAAAGAAAAAAATAAAATAGAGTTGATGGTGATATAAAAAGAGCTTCCAAATTTTACCCCCTTTCTCAGTCAGAGTTAAATGACACAATTCCTCCTCCCTTTAATTTTTTCTTTAGCTCTAAGTGGAAATTTGAAGAGCCTCCTTCTAGTTTCATAACTTTTTAAATTTTATTTTTAATTGACAAATAATAGTTCTATATATTTATGGGGCACAAGGTGATGCTTGTTGGAGATACGTCTATATTGCAGAATGATTAAATCAAGCTAGTTAACAAATCCGTCGCTTCACATACTCATCATTATTTGTGGTGAAAACATTTAAAATCTACTATTTTTAGCAATGTTGAACTTTTTAAAATTTTAGTCACCATTTTGTGCAGTAGAACACTAAAACTTATCCTTCCTGTCTAAGAGAAACTTTGTACCATCTGATCTACATGGAGAGCCTCCTTCTTGAGAACAAGACTCAGAGATGTTTAGTCCCTGCTTACAACCAGCCAGTGGCTTCTCATCCTGTTGGGTTGAACCACATGAAATCGTCAGTCTTTGTTGTTTTGACCCACAAAAGTGCCAATTATGTATGTTTCAACCAACACTTGCATTAAACCCAAACTCCTTCCTACAGCCTGTGAGTCCTTCCACCTCCTCTCCCCGGTGCTGGACGCCACCCGGTGCCAGGCCCCCGGGCCAAGGGGCAGCTGCCCTGAGTGGGGGCCCGGCGCCTGCACCACGACCAGCCTTCCTCCTGGGCACCCACCGGTCAGCATGAACTGATAGGCGTTGTCGGAGATGGAGAAGATGTGGGGCGGGGCCTCCTGGCGCTTCTTGCCCCGGTAGCCGTTCACCACCTCGGGGTTGTACACCGGCAGCCACTTGTAGGGGTTGACGGTGACACAGAAGAGGCCTGAGTAGGTCTGTGGGAGAGAAAGGTATGCGCATGTGTGTGTTCACGTGTGCGTGTATGTGCGAAACCTCTTGCCTCTATTACTCTCTCATCTGTCTTTACGATGCACTTGGAGGCAAGATGTCATTTCCATCTACAGATGAGGCCGCCGAGACTCAAAGAGGGAGCGACAGGTTGGTTTCCAGCCTCCCACACCTGGCAGGTGACAGTGCGGAGACCCGGCCGGCCCGGCCCCACCTTCCCTGCACTCCAGCTCGGCTCGCTCAGCCCCCACCCCCCGTCCTTCTTCTCTGGCTTACTCGTCTTCTTTGTTTCTCTTCCCCTTCTCTTTTCTGCCCCCTCCGTTGCCCCCGTTTTGTTCGACAGCTAGTCAAGCACAGACCCTGCAAAACCCAGCGCCCCCAGGCACGTCCCCACCCCCCACCGCGTCACAGGTCCCCGCGCAGCCCCGCAAGGGCCTCACTCACGTAGATCATCCAGGACGTGTAGCGGTCCTTGAGGTTGTACAGCACCGCCGGCTCGTTGAGGTGCGTCAGCATGGCCATGTCCTCGATCCTGTCAAACTTGGGGGGGTTCATGGCGTACACGTCCTCGGGTTTGACCACCAGGGTCTGAAAGGGGAAGTCGCAGCGCTGCGGCCATCTGCCCCGCGGAGCAGCTTCCCAGCCGGGGTGCAAGGGGCGAGCACCAGAGAGAGCCCAGCCGGCGGCGCCGGAAGGGAAGGTGACGGGTGGCTTGTGGCGGTGGCAGTAGAACGTGGTTTGCTTCTGTTACTCGGGGCTTTTTTCCACTCTCCAGGGGGCCCGGGGTTAAGGAAGGGTGACAGAAAGGAGAGAAGAGGATCTCTGTGGGTGCGTGTGGATGACAGTGGCAGGGAACGCAGCCGGCAGCAACCGTTCGGCTCAGTAACGCTGGCTGGGCCCGGTCGGCTCCTGCGGCGGAGGGCCCTCTCCTTCCTGTCTGCTCAGGGAAAGGGCGCACCCAGCGGCAGTGCCCAGGCAGGAGCAGAAGAGGAGGAGGCAGGTGGCGTCCGGTCGCCAGGCTGGTGCCCACGGAGCGAGCCAACATTCTGAGCTCTCCAAAAGCAGCTGCCCAGCCCCCAGCCTCACATTTTGCCCCCTTGCCCCCCCTCCCCGACCACGCTCACGACAGAGCCCCCTCCCTCCCTCCCTTTTTTGGGGACAGAGTATCCTTATACAAGCCGGGTGGGTGGCACCTTTTGTGAGGCAGAGCAGGGCTCCGATCACTGGCCAGTGTCTGTGCTGCTTCACCTGGGAGGGAAGGCCCAGCCCCCACACCCTCAGCCTTCCTCTCCCCTGCTCTGCCTCACTCCTTTTTCCCTGTGACCGGCCCCGACAATGCTCACTTTTCCCTGTCCGTCTCTGGGTACTGTGAGCAGGAAACCTACCTTTCCCCAGCCTTCAAGCAGGGATCCATGCAAACCGTCCTGCCAGTCGGCCCTCCTTGCGCACGGCCTCTTAGGGACCTTGGATTTTCACTCATTGAGGGTCGCCTCAGCCTTCCTGCTGCTTTGCAAGCCCACTCTCAGCTCCCTTATCTGAATAGACGCAGAGCCACCTTCGGGGAGCTTTAATGCTTGGTGGCACCACAGGGCAGCTTTTAATGCCCTTTTCCTCCGTGCCCAACACAATGACAGTAATTCCTTCACCTGTCTCTCAGATTTCCTTTTGCCTGTTTTATTTTTAATCAATTATGTTCTTCTTTCTCTCTTCCTTTTCTTTTTCTTTTTTTTTTGGCAGGGGGCTGTTCTTGGGACATTTCTAGAGTCTTTCGGTCTAGATTCCAGAGAGCAGTGAAGTCTGGAATTCCTTCCAGCATTCCCGCAATGGCTTGGGCCAGATTGTAGTGGGTGCCTTTCATGACTCTGGGAGGCTGCTGTCTCCCAGCTGCTATTTGAGCTTGCGGTCCACTAGGGTCCCTTACACGTTTTCCTTACTTCCTCAGTTACAGGGTCATTGCTGGAAGAATTAGAGGGAAACCTAGGCTACCAAAGGAGAATGTTGCAGAATAGCTCCTCCTAGTGCTGGCCGCCCGACTCCACACTCTTGGGACTCATGGAGCAGGTCCCTTCTAGCCTAGAGTGACCTGGACACTGACAAAAGCACCTGAAAGCCAGTCAGGCTTCTGGTTGGTCAGCCCCAAACAGACTCTTCTCCCGCCCTGTAACCTGAGGGCAGTGTTCTCGCTGCTTTCTCTGAGGACACCTGGGGAGCCTAAGGCCATGTCACCTGGGGCACTGCAGCGCCGAGGCCACATCTGGAGGCGGCGGGGGTGGGGAGGGTGCTCGTCCAAGGCAACGCGAGGGCGGACAGAGGGCCGGCCGGCCTGCAGAGGGAGCGCACGGGTCTTACCCTGTTGTCCTCGGTTTCCACGGTGACCCTCCCATCCTGAGAACTCTTGATTTTCCCCTTGGCATATTCTTCCTTTGAGTCCACCACAAAGCAGTAGGTTTTGGCGTCAAAGGGCTGGTTCTGGGCCTCGGTCCTCTCCTTCTCCGACTTCCGGAGGAAAGGAGCAGCCATGCCGAACACTTCCATCTCAGCGTCTCCGCTCATGGCGTCAGCTGGAAGGCAAGCCCCTCCTGAGCACAAGGCGCCAGACGGCTCCGGGCCTGCTGTCCCAGCACCCGCCCCGCCCCTGCGGCCACAGGAGCCCCCAGACGCAGGGCCCCAGAAACAAGGCTGTCCTCCTGCCCCCTGGCGCTCCGCCCAAAGGACCCAAGTGCCGGGGAAGCCCACTGGCACTTATTTATTGCGTGGCTACTCTGTGCGAAGGCCTGGAGCCTGCCTCGTCCAAGCTGCTCAGGTCTCTGAGGCTCCAACCGGTGCAGGGGCCCCCTTTTCCTCTGCAGTAAAACCCAGGTGTTACTGAGGAACATTTAAACGCAAACACCATTTGGAAACAAATGCATTCTTCAAAGGGCGTGTGCTAAAAGGCAAATGGCTAAGGAATCTCTGAACCATTTCAATGAAGGTGGCTGCACCCTCGCACCAGGGGACCAGCCTTTGCTTCCTTCAGGGCTGAGAATAGCAGCGAGCCTCTGACGTCAACTTGTGTGTGAGTCCCCCCAGGTGCAACCTCCTCTCTGGCCCTCCCGCCTGACTTTTCCTGTCCTCTCTCTCTGGCTCCTGGGGCTCTCTGTGCCCTCAAGGCCAGGGGAGGAGGGAGGACCTGGTAACTCTGGGTCACTTGGAGACTTCCAGCAGCCAAAGGACAGGGTCCGAATTCTCACCTGAGAGTCACACCTGCAAGAGAGCAGAAGACGGGAGCAGCCGGAGAGATATCGGACCTGCGGCAATAGGACAATACGCACATGCACAAAAACTTAGTGACAGCTGGGAGCGTCTGGTTCCCTTCTGAATCAGCTCTTGATGAGTTACCTAATAAGAATAAAGAACTAATAATTGGAAGAGGCAGGCTGGGGGAGCAGGCGGGACATGAGGCACAGGTAGGCTGTTACGGTAGGAAGAGTCTTCAACTGCCTGGATATCCGGGTCTTTCCAGCCTACCGTGGCACCTGCCTCAGTCTGCGTGTCTCCCAGTGAGAATCAGGCATTAGGGACGAATCCCTGTTAAAAAGCTGGCAGGACCAGGCCAGGGGCAGGCCTCCTTGTCTTCTGCAAGCAGGACAACTCTGAGATTGGCTCGTGTACACCTGGTGGCCACAGCCAACGTGGTCTCGCGAAGACAAAACGCCTGACAGGCACAGCCCGGGGGGGGAGGTGAGTCAGGGCGAGGCCTGAGCCCCCCTGGCCTGTGTCACAGATCCTGGAGGCCACAGGGTATGCCAGGCCATGGTGGATGGGCTCCTGGGAGTCCAAAGAGGAGGACGGGGAGAGGTGGGAGGAGGGTGAGGTGCTGGAGGCAGAGGGTGGCTGGGCACTTGGGCCCAGGGAGACCTTGCCCCACACCTGGCCAATAATCTTAGGAAATCATCTCAGCGGGAGAGGAGGTACCACCGTAGTACCAGGGACACAGGGCGGGGGCTGGGAGGGGAGCGCCTCGACTTACCTCTGCCCACGAGTGAGCCACGGAGGGGCGGCTGCTCCCCGGGGCTTTTATAGGCCTCCGCTAACCCCCACGGCTCATTCCTTCTCTATATTTGGAAAGAGAATGACCCACCACAAGCTGAGAACCGGCCTCTTCCACACGTATTTTTCGTCGTTGCCAAGGGCAAGGTATATATAGAAATGACCAGGATCCATAACCATTTTCCAGCTGTAGGAAGTCGGGAGTTTGGGATGCCTTTCTCTGAGCTCGGGGCTGCTGCCTCGTCCCTGGACGTGGTGGCTCAGCCTCGCTGTGGGGGTGTCGCACTCCGAGTCAGCGCGGGGCCCCTACCTCGGGGGGGACAGAGGACGGCCACTTGGGCGGTTTGCTTAGAAATCTCATGACTTGGGAAAATGAGGGACACCGTGGATGAAAAAGTTGAAATCCTCTTGGAATTCTGAGCAAGACTTTTGTCCCAACCCAAGGTTGTGATGGGGCTGTGTGATTGTGAAACTTGCGCCAGGAACAATAATAATAATAATAATAGTGATTATAAATAATAAATATTAATAATAATATTATTATTATCTCCTTCCTTCGGCCTCCCCCTCCTCCCACCCTTCTCCCTCCTCTGTTTTCCTGTGTGACGTTCTGTCTCATTAGTACCATCATCGGCTTAATCCTTTCTTAAGCACTGCTAGGACCAACTAGCAAATTACTGACGGGAGCCCTGCCGCCAGCCGGTCTTCGCAGCGACAGCTGCTGAGGACTCGGGACTCGTTGTTATTAAGACGTATCACCAATTGGGGAGGACCAGCTGCCGCCCGGGCGGGGGGTTCGGGGAGTGGCGGGGGCTGCGCAGAAAGGGCGAAGGGCGCGTTGCCTAGCAGATGTGGTCATTTCTAAATCAGGAGTGGAGAAACAAAGCCTCAAGAGAAGAATAAGGGCGTGTTGGACACTTTTGCCCGTTCCCATTCTACTTTTTTTTTTTTTACCCTTTTTCTTCCTGACCAAATTACTGGGAGGGTGGCTGGGTGGGCATCCTGTGGTTGTTTATTCTAGACAGGACTGTTTGTCAGCATTTCCCACTAGAGAATAAGGCCTGGGCCTTCCCGACACAGCCACGCCGAGCCCAGCCGCGGAGGCGATGTGGAGAGACAGGGCAGGAAGGGGCTGCAGGTCCCCGTGAAGAGGGGACATGTATGAAACACCCACAGTGCTCCGGCCCCTGCAAAGGAAGTGGAAGACGCAGCCCCTACCGGGACCGTTTGTACTATAGACTGTGTAGACTCGTTTCTAAGACCGAGGTGGTTTCAGATCAAAGCCGCCCGTGTGTACTAAGTGCCTGTTCTGCAGATGCCGGGCAAGGCCGGCCGCTGCTGAGGATGAAGGTGGGACGGGCTTGCCAACCCCTTGCCCCCCGCCACCATCCGCTATGGGATCGCCCCATCCCGCAGCCCCTCTTCCTCCAATCTGGACCGAAACGCCCCTACTTGGAGCCCTCCTCGCCCAAGGGAGAGCCCTCCTCAAGTGTCCCTCTGTGTCCTGGAAGGGAATGGTGTCCTGGGGCTCTGTCCTGCCTGTCCGGTGACACGTCGGCCCGAGCCACTGTGTGACTGGCTGGCCATCTCCCGGACAGGCCTGGTCAGGACAGCCATGGGACAGGTAAATGTCACCGAGGGGAGTAGAGGTGTTCACAAACCCCAGGGGGCCCAGGGAGAGCGCGAGGGGCCCTGGCTGCCTTTTAGGGGTGGGGGGGCGGTTCTTGCTTAAACACCCAGAGCGGGGGCTGGGAGGGACTGTGCGGAAATGAAACATAGGTTAATTTTGCTTTTTCCCTTTTGTAGTCACCAGAGTGCCCACCTACCTGTATCACCACACCCAAACCCACCTACAGGAGGCAGAAAAGAAATATTCTGCACAAGGTTTCTTTAAGTTCCCTGTAAGATAGCACCCATGTCACATACTGCACCCAGGACAAGCTCTGAGACCCTGCTGGCCTCCTGTCCTGGCTTTTGAAATCGACCCGTCCTTCCTTCCTTCCATCCCCCCATCAAACTTCTTCATCTTCAACAGGCATAGACAAGCCAGCCTGGGAGAAAATTCGAGGAATCCTGTTCCCCAAATCCTGTTCCTCTTGCGGGTGTTCACCTGCAAGATCTGAGAGATCCTGTGCGGGACCGCCTTCTTTTGCCTGTGAGAAGATGGGAGGCGGGAGCAGTAGGCAGCTCGCGGGAGGCCCCAGGAGGGGGTCCGAGTCGGGTGGAGCGCGGCTCTCCAGGGGAAATGCCAGGGAATGAGCGGTGACAACGCCAACTGCATCATAGGCAGCAGCTTAACAGCTAGGTGTCAGGAATAGAAAAATCTGGCCATTTGGAAAATCAGCTTTAGGAGGAGGGGAGAACACGCAACCCCTGCAGCTGTGGGTCGTAGCAGGGAGAACGCGGAGCCTTAGAGCACCCAGGCCTGGGCGCGAACCCCAGCTGGCCGGCTTGCCCGCCCTGTGATGGTGGGCAGTGTGCTTCCCTGAGCCTCTCTTTTCTCTTCTTTAAAATGGGGCTTCCACTCCTGTCTCTTTTTGTGCATTCAGGAGGATATTGAGACAGTGGGCACACCGTCCCTGTGCTGCGTTTGGCATGCCGTAGATGTCTGGCAGATGCCGGTTTTTTCTCCGCCTGGAGATGTTCCAGCACAGTGAGGCTGCTTTTATCAACGATAACCCTGAGTGGTGAGATGGGGCGGGGGAAGAGACATTTATAATATTTTCTCGAAAAGATTTCCATCCAAAGAGAGAAATCTTAAAGAAGAGAACCTCTTGCTGCTCTAAGAGGGAGCTGGTGCCATCCTGCTGTGGAATGCCTCCTCTGATAAACAGGGCCGGATGACTTACTGGTGTATTAATAGCCGGCTTTGGGGAACAGAAGGAGCCCTTGCTCTTTCAGCCATCACACAGGCAGAGCTGATCCGCACGGCCAGGGCGGAGGGCTGCATTCATCTCTTGGTGAGCTGGAAAAGATACGTATTGTGTCTCGGAATGCACGCCGGCTTAGGAAGTGGAGAAACAGGCGGCTGCCCCCCTCTGCGAGGCTCAGCCGCTTTCTCCCCGGCCATCTTCCCGCTGCTGTTGCTGTCTGGTCTCAAGAGGGGACACCAGGGCTCCCAGCCTCGCAGCAGCATTCCCGGGACCACTGTCTGCCAGAGCGTGAGGTCAGCCTTGGGGAGCACGTGCCTCCGGGGTCAAGTGGCTTCTCCATGTCCCACTGGGGCGGGGATTAGGTGTCACTGGAGATGAGGAACTGGCTTATTCTGGGCCGCGACTGCTCCCTGGCGCCGAGGGGAAGGGTGGGGGTCCCGAGCCAGGGCCCAGAGTCCCGGGGAGAAATTCAAGCAGAGAGAGGCCACACTCTGTTTTCACTTCAACTCAACTGTACGCACTGTTCCCAACGTTCTATTATGAAAAATTTCAAACCTACAGGTGAGTGGAAAGTATAAAAAGTGAACACCCATATCCAAAAGCAACAACTGTTAGCACTTTGCCAGTTTGCTTTCTCCCTCTTTCCCTTCT